GTTATCAGAACACTAACCCATGGCCAAGCACTATTACAAGAATCTCACAAATGAGCAACAAACTTAGTGCTGTTGTTTCATAATGAGTACGATGTTAAGGATTCCCTTATGTATTTTCTGCCTGTGGTGGATAGTAGCGGAAAAATTTTCCAAGAAATAGCGGGGAGATAGCTGTCTATTTACCTCTTTTGAGGCATTTTTGCATCATAACTATTAGTGGTGGTTACGTACACCTTGGGTTTGGGGCCTTACGTGGGGTAAATGGCTTGGGTTTGGTTAGGCTCAGGTTTCAGGTTACCCTTGGGGATGCGGTTACACAGTAAAAGACTCCCTTCAGGGTCAAATATAATTAGATATGAGTTCACTGACCTGGCAAATTAGCAGGAAAAGTACAGAGCAACATGGATGTTACGAATCGAGATCTATTAACCATAACTTCAGTGATTCTCCTGCTTATTATACGACAGTCCTCCATAATTATAACAGTCTAGCATTTTTTTGCGAGAAGACACCGAAGAAGGCGCGAAATTAGCCAAACGCATCGGAGGTCACCTCAAAACACTGTAAGTGATTTCCTGTATTAGCTACATTCTGCTTTATGATTGGCCAAGTCAGCTCAGGGAGCAGATAAACCGTACTTTTCAGTTCAGGTACTGTCATGGGAAGTTCTTTTGTTATTTTTGATGTATCCATGGAAATAACCCTAGAACAGTTTCGGTCTGAGGAAAGCGGTTACACACAAAAACGTCCTTGCACGTGGACAAACGCTATTTACCCATGGGTAAAAGGGCTAGTATAACTACGACTATTAGCTAAACGGAAGTTGTGTGACATGACACAGACGCGTTCACGTTTAGGTTAAAAGTGAAATAATACAACAACGTAGGAATTTAGGAGATTTGGACTGACCGCGTGGCCATAGCGGTGGAAAACAATTTAGCGATCATGAAAGAGGGAGAGCAAGTATCAGATGCAATGGAGCGTTTAGAGAGAAAAATTGACAAAGAGATCGCAAAGCCTTTTGTTGATATACATTTTTTATTGTAAACGACTTTTCTCATGTAGCTTACAAGTTACGAAGAAATGTCAAAAAATGGTGTTCAGAAGAGCCTATATGGTGGCATGGCGTAATCTTAGCAGTCGTCAAATGTACAAAGCTATCGTGCTTGTATCGTGCTTTTCTTCAGAAAATTTGCATCAATATAACCTTTGGTCAGTTAATAATAAATTAAATTAATTTTTTTTTTCAGTGCAGAGGTGTTTGTTTTCGAACAATTATAAATTTTCTATTAAAGAGATTGTTGTAATGTTTTGCTGTTGCAACTTCTCTAAGAAAGACACGGAACGAAGCCAAACGCAGAGTTATCGTAGTTGCAAAACTACCCATAACTGAGAAATCACCCGATACTGCTTTGCGCGAATAGTTTGTTCAAATTGACGTCCTTTCGCCTTCCATATAAAAGTTTCTTCATAATATTTACGGTAGTTCCGCACGTTTGGAGAAATCATGCCGCAAAAATCTTGTGACTCATTACGTAATTGTAACTAATTAAAAACTAATAAATGAAACGAATGAAGGTCTCACTGAGTCCTCTTCCTTAAACCGACAATGAAAACAGTGTCAATGATAAATATATGTTTTGTTAGACCGTAGCTTAAAGTTATCGAGGTTGTTTTCTTTTTTTTTCCGCTCCATTGGTTGATTAAATTGCACCTACACAAAATTACTCGTAGACCTCAAAAAAATGAAGAACAAATTACCAAATATTACTCAACTAGAAAAAAAAAGGGTATTTAAAATCTGAAGAAATGGCGATGTCTTTTTTCCCGCCTAAAAATATGGCAATAATTTTTTGCCTGTGTAAGAAATTTTCAAACTTGTCTTCAAGTTAATTTTTGCGTATCTTCCAGTGTTTGCCTGCCCTTTGGTTGTATTTTATAAATAAATGTATTTGCAAGGTCAATAACCTTGTTTTTACAGATTTCACTGGATTTGACCTTCATTTTTAAATTAAATTTTCAGGATCAGTTTGGGTATCTTTCTCCGAGATTTTTCGACTGTTTGGCTGCCTTACTTTAAAATATACGTTTAACCCTGTAACCTGTAACTAAGTGACCAGAATAAAATTTATCCCTACAATATCAGCCCATATTTAAACATCAAGATGACAAGAATTAAGGAATTGATCACCTACTGAAGAAGCTCTTGATTGTTATACAAATTCTCCTTGTTACCATCTTAGGAAATGTGCTTATTGATGGTAGCTAGGGTGTTAAGGGTTACCTGAAACCTCAAACCGCTTTGAAAGTTAATAATCAACCTGAAATTTAGGGGTGCGTCACGCAATATTGGAAGGAGATGGCGTGACTGACCAAGACAAAATTTCTCCTTGCAGACAAGTGATGAGAATAAAGAAAAATATCAATTATAGGACTACTAATTGATGCGATACCAAGTTCTTCAAACTTATAAGATGAAAATACTTTGATAGGCAGTAAGGAGAATTGCTAATGAGATCTTGGGAGTTAAACGGTTAAAATTATACCCATAGCCATCCGGCGAACGCTTTTAAATTTAATGTAAATCAAGTGGTTATTTAATTAAGGGTACGTCACGCGGTATTCTCACCACTTAATTAAAATATACTATGAGGTAGCTCCAAGGAGCGTTTAATTATGGCCTCAGGACATGCTTAAAAAATGGAATACAACTGAAATGTATTTTTCCACTTGGCTCGTAGTTTAACAGTGAGATTAGACCCCGGTGAAGATTTAGCATTTGCGACAGCTGAACAACAGTACGAGGAAACTTTTTTGGTACTGCTCATTTCTCAACTCTTGTATTTAGAGCTCTGTTTCCTTGTTTTGCTTCCTTTCTTCAGATGCGAAACGAGTCTACCATTGACTTCAAGGTAAATTTTTTATATAGTAGGGTATCGTTTCCATCGTTCTTCGAAGCATCTACAAATATTTTTAGCGTTTAATGTTGCTATGTAACATATTTAACTTAAACTTTCCTCCTAAGAATGTACTTATACACGTAGTGAGCTTGTTCGTGATGCAGCGACCAGATGCGATTTCGAAGATGTTTACATTACTGAATATCAACACACAATCAGGAAACTTTGCATTTTCCGACAACCTATCCTTTCGATGTAGCCTAAATATATGTAAAGGGTCGAAACTTATTATTTGTGATACAGGCGCTTCCCTTTCCCTCGTTTGCAATATTTTACGATCGTGATCACTCTCTGTTTCTTTGTGCCTCGAGGGTGTTTACATTATCATTTACAAACTTATGCGTCAGATTCTTGTCTTCAGGCTTCTAATGATCACCTTCGGCATGCTCATTTTGACAGTTTTGCATATTATGAAATATCAAGCTTTTCAATGCATAAAATAACTGTTGAGAGCTTGTTTGACGGCATTTTATTATTTCATCTTTGAGTTCGTGGACCAACCTATTCCAAAATAGCTCAGTTCCTTTCGGTGTAGATGTGCCACGAAAGGCGTGTGCTTTGGTAAGTAGATGTTTCATTTATCAAGTAAACGTTGCGTCTTATTGTTAGATCTATTGAATGACAAGAATCGCGATTGACATTAATTCTAAACATTGATTTAAAAGAGTTAGGTTATTATGTTTCAAAACAGTTTTGTAGCAGAATCGAAGTGAGAAAGGAGTTGTTTTGATATCATTTTTCTGTCTCTAAATCCGCTTACCTGGAGAACCTGCTAACCTGTAAAGTGAGTAACGATCAGGTGGAACATCTTGATCGATTTTTTTCCAAACCTAGCTGGAACAAAATGAAAAGTCCTTGCATACTCATACTTTGTATGCATTTTTTTCTCTTGGTGGACCTATTACTGGTTAGAGGGATTCGTAAATGTTAAATTCATGACCTCCTGTTCTGATGTAAATTTTGTATGAAAACGCTCAAAATTAAAACAAACTCGGAAACATTTTTGCTCCGTCGGAATCACGTGTTGGCAAGTGAGTCGATCTGTTCAGAAGGACAGGGACGCATCCAACCCCTCACTACCCCACACGGGGTATTGCTGTCTCCCGTAATGACTCTTACCACAGGCAGACAACCCAGTGGCTTTGAGGCCGCGTGACGTCAGTTATTTGATACGCTAGTTGAACTCGTACATTGTTTGTAATTTGCAACAGTCGATCTCGGCAAGACGCAAGTGATCCCAAGAAATACCATTTCTCGGAATCACTTGAAACGATTTCATAGATTCGGCAAGACGAAGAGCGAATGTCGACGCAAGTGATCCCGAGAAATGTTTCATAAATTCAGCAAGATGGTGAGCGAATGTCGGAAATCGAGTAGGCTTTTGAGGTGGTTAGAGGCTGTCAATTGCACAGATTTTTGGCTTGGCTCTTACACGTTAATCGACTTTTAATGTCCCCGAAGCTGGGAGGTGAGCGACATTTGGAAGCGGAAGAAATTCGGCGAAGTTCTCGAGGCTTTTGGCCCAGACGGTCCTGGAAGTTGCACGCCTTGTGTTTTTCCTTTGCCTTTGGAGGGGCAGCAGTGCAAAGTGGGGAATTAACCGTTCCAAACTCCTCCAAAATCACTCTAGACAACATAGAAAAACAAAGGAAAGTGAACTTTATTCATCTGACTGTCATGAAGCGGATGTTGGGGATGAAATGTTTCGATTTGCGAATTTATAAAACATTTCTCGGGATCACTTGCGTCTTGCCGAGATCAACTGTTGCAAATTACAAATAATGTAAGAGTTCAATCACAGGCGTCCCAAGCTCCAGCTGTGAGATGATCATCTAGCGCAATAACAGTCATGGCGGAATTACAAGAGCCTGTATGGGAATATTTACGACCGCTTTAACGAATTAAAAAATAGGTCAAATTCTCAATAAAAATACTTCACCTTACTTCCACAGCGTATCACTTGTTATCTGACCGCTTACTTTGATGAAAAGATCCCATTTTAGAGAGTCGCTCGTTTCGGTACAAAAGAAAGAGCTTTTGTGTTCATCAAGCGTATCAAATAACTGACGTCACGCGGCCTCAAATCACAGGGTTGTCTGCCTGTGCTCTTAGGAGTCGTAATTGCGGCAGCGTCGTGGCGAGAGGAATAGTAAGACGCATTTGGTAAGTTTGATTCAGTGATATTTCATCATAGTGAAAGGCATAGAAAGATCGAATATTATGTGTTATCCTAGACTGAATAATTTGCCTTCAATTAAAAGGGATTTTGACGCAATACTGAACGATTGAACAGTCTGTGACGTAGGTAAATATTCGTCGAGGACAACGGTTAATAGATCTCCTAACAAATTGTCGTCGAATTTTATTTCTGCATCTGTTTCTAAAGAATGTGAACAGTTACGTTATCCTTGTGGACTTTCTTGGGATATAAAAATTAGGAATTTATTCCTGATAATGTTATTTCAGTGATCTCAAGTTCAGATTAGTGACTATTTCAATTCAAGCATTCGAAATGCAACGAAGCACATCTTCTCTTTCCAACTTACCTGAATAGTAGGAATGCGAAAGGCTCACAAACACAGATTGCAACGTCAGAACGTCTAACCTTTACACTGATAAGGAAAGCACGTAGCGGAACGTTTGGCTGTTTTGTCTTGCAAAGTTACAGATATTTGAATAAAATCTAATGCGTGTATGATCAAGATAATTTCCGCCATCTTTCTCGTCACATCACTCAATGTAATGCTTGTCACGTTTGTCACGCAATGTAATGAAAAACGAAAACTTAAAATACAAATGTCTCAATGAATGATGTTTCACGATACGCGAACTTCCGGTGTTCGCCATAGTTTCCGGTTTGTATAAACTGTCAATCAAATAAACGTGGTTTAGCTTATCTCAAAATGGCGTGTTCACTATGAAACACAAACAAATGATGATAATGTTTATTTGACTAAATAGACTTCAAACATCCTACCTAACGTTTCCAAGAGAAAAATCAGGAAGGTGTCAGAAGCATCCCCTGAGGGAATTTTCTGCTCATCTTGCGGCTCGTTTTTCATGTTATTTGCATATTTAGTTTGCATCGCGTACATAACAAATTCACACGTGCAAACTTTTTGTTTATGGAAAACTCTTTGCTCAAGAAAAAATCAAAAGCGGAAGAAAGCCCATTGGTAAAAAAAAAAAGTCCTTTGTGAAAGCAACTGGTACTGGTGGAGCTCCACGCTGCCATCCAGATTACGAACAAAACAAAATGTCAAACATAAATTTTGAAACGAGGTTTCCTTTTATTTATGCAAGTACCAGCCTTGATACGAAAACATCAACAATCGCCTCGAATCGTAATTTTGGGAGCTGTATGTTGATTCGTTGTCTTGCCCCTCAGCACATTTTCCGATTTTTTCATTTTTGCTTGAAGTTTTTCGTTTGCCTTTGGCAACTTTGCCCATTATTGTGGCGTTCTTCCTTACCGCTCCACTGAGCGATCGAGACAAAAAACTTGTCTGCCATGGGTTACTTCTGCCGAGAAGTCTTTATCCATCGTCATTGACGCCAGGAGGTCCCGTTTTCCTATTAGTTTGCGGTTTCAGGAGGCGAGATAGTATCCTGGCGTGTAGCGAGTTGTTTACGAACCTTTCTAAGCTAAAATGCTGTATTTGATTTTGGGAGGAATACATTCACTTTGAGCGAAGTTATAGGGTATTTAGATCGACCGATTCTCGCCAAATTTCGCCGAAACATTCCTGGAATAATAAAAAACGAAATTGTGTCGGAAAATTTTGATATAAAAATATATTTCTCTCGTGGTGTCCATTTACGCAACACTTCTCGCATCTTTTTAGCTATTCCAACTTGTTTAGACAACCAATCAGAATATCGAAAAAAGCTTAACTCAATTTTGTTAGTTGATGCCCTGTGAATGAGACTGTGCAGCCATTTTGCTTGTGCTGCGGCATCCGATATCCGATATATTCAATAGAAGAACCCTCGGTCGTTTCACGCCTTGCCGGCTCCTGACACCTCCTTATCATATTATTAACTAAGTTGATAGCTTTAAAACAACTATTCACCGAAATGGAGGGGGCTAGTGGTGGATATTAACCGAGCTGCGATGCAGCGAGGTAAATATCAACCGCTAGCCACTGACACTGACGTGAATAGTTGTTTAAGTTTATGATAAAACAGTCAGAGAATTAAGCACAGGAGATGATTTTAACTCCTTTTTTCCTGAAACAATTGTTATATTTTTGAGTACAAATCCCGCGCGTTGCTCGGAGGTGAAAAGTAAAGGATATTTGGAATTTGAGCAGCCAATCAGAGCGCGCCTTCAACGCTATCCAGTGTTTTTGTATATACTAAAGCAAACTATCTTGTTATACCCCCCTTTTACGCAGCACAATATGTCTATGATCACCTAAAATACACTGGTTAATGTATTTATGTTTTATTTTTCTTTTCTTTTCTTTTCATCCACCCTTCAATCATTCGTTCGTTTCATGTATTTTTATTTAATTTTAGAATGGCTGCAAAGTCTTACCAAGCAGACTTTAAAAGGTGTTACGGGGGTCGACTTTCCAATCTTTCTCATAAAACGACAGAGAACGAAATTCAACAAATTTATGACGAATGGGCAAAGGAATATGAAAAGGTAACCACTGAACTAGTTCATGTATATAATATTAGTTTCCAAACTAATTAAATGTGTATATGGTTAGCCGGACCTCACTTTAGTTCCTTTTTCGTGCGACGATCACGTGCTTTCGTATAATCGAATATTTCAATCGTATATTTCAAGTTAGTGAAAGGTGAGAAAAGAGACAGGAAAAACTGTTGACGCTGTAGCAGCAAGGTAATGGTACATTAAAGAAAAAGAAGCTTACGTGATCCAAGACTCTTAGTGCCTTCCTCTCAGTGAGTTTCTTCAAGCTCTTTTGTCCCTTACGTCTACTATGTTACATAAGGTTGAGTTTTGTGTTCAAATTTCACTTTCAGGATGTTGTTGTTGTGGCACGCGCAATTTTCCACAAGCCACTGGCTGAGTCTTTGGATGAAGCCATTCGGAAATTTCTCGCTGGGAAAGAAAAAGATGAAATGAAAATAATAGACGCCGCAGCTGGTACAGGACTGATAGGAGTCGAACTAAATAAACTCGGCTACACCAATCTATGTGCTTTGGATATTTCACCAGAAATGTTAAATGAAGCAAAGAAAAAAAACGTCTACAAAAAGTTTATATGTTCCTCTTTAAGTGACAGGCCAAATCCTGAAATTGCACCAGAAGAATTTGATGCTTTGATTTGTGGGGGCTCAATGCTTGTAGGACACATCGGTCCATCGGCGCTCATAGAGATGATCAGAATAATAAAAATCGGTAAGCTTACTTCCGCCTTTGCCAAATACTTATCACAAAAACGAAGAGTAGACAAACAAACAAACAAGGGAAGATAACAATTGTAACAAATTTTATTTTATCTCTCAGTTCGTAGGTACCTTGATTGGTCAATTTAGCGGGCGTATTTACTGTACGGCCCGTTAAACTCAAAAGTTTGTTTGAACTGAAATCTTCCTCTTTTCTCTATTTGAACCCAGAAATATAGCGAACATCTTGTTAACCGCGTTTTTTTCTGGTCCTTACTGCAAGTTACGGAATCTCGTTTTCTTTGCCGTTTTTATGGCCATAAATTCGTGTGGGAAAACCTTGGTCCGTAACTTACATTGGGGACCTCGAACTCAGTTAATAAGAGCTTTATAAGCTAATTAAACAAAGGATTACGGTAATTGAAAGCTGCAAATGAAACAATATTGACATCGATTGTTTGGTGCGTCTAGCACTCGAACTAAAATTATGAAAAAAGTTCGACACTTGAAATTATTGTGAAATAATACTAGTGATTTGACAAAACATGTCAAATTTTTTTTCACAATATCTGAATCAAAAAGTTTGTGTTTACAATTTTTGTAGTATGTTTTCATCTTACTTTAATCGGGATGAACATGTGGTAGCAGCACCACCGGAGCAACCAACATCAGCAGAAACGACAACAAAAGCGAAAACAAAACCTCAATAGAAACAGGCTTAGTTCCCAGTTTTTTTCGTTTGCTAACGCGCCTCTTTCCCCCTTCCCCCACCCCCTCCCCCTTTCCTAGGATCAGCATGCATACTCTCCATACTTTTCTCCCTACATTTCACATACACACACAAGGAGAATTCGTCGGGCGTCTCCAGTTCTCGATCATTTCCTTCATTCTCATGTCCGTATTGTTTGATTCAGGGACGGTATTGCTGAAAGAAATTAGAAGCTTAAGGTTGAAGGGTTATAAGCTATAAACTTTAAAATTTTGGACGTTTTGCTTATTTTCAGGTGGTCTGGTGTGTTTCAACATCCGAGATGGGCAACTAGAGGACTACCAAGAGAAGATATCGGAATTAGAGTCATTGGGATCGTGGAAATTAATCTCAAAAACGTCATTGCCATTTTTTGAAAGCGATGACATGCCTAGAGAAACTTTCCTGTTTATATGTCAAGTCTTGGATTCTGCGAGGTGATTGTGCAAATGGAAAGCGTGGCGTTCTGAATGATACCGCTGTGACTGAGACTGGGATAAAGACGTCCTTACTAAGCTTCCAAATGTTTATAACAACGAAATTTTAACGTTGCACAATAAAAGCCGACTTCGAATAACTAGGTATGGAAAACAGTTTAACCTGTATTAAGCGATCACCAATGCGAAAAGGTGGGGTGACTGCATAATACAGGTGGACCGCTTTTAAAGCTCTGTTTAGCCAAGGGTAAAAATTCCCGACGTTCTGCTGCCGTGGGCAAATCAATACCTCTACAAGCAATCAGAGTGTCTTTTTTGGAAAGAACTCGATCAAAATATTATCCCTGATCGTTGCAGGAGAGTCAAATTCCGGCCATGTACCCTCTCTTATCAAAATACAAGAAATAACACGTTTTCTGTAATTTATTTATTTTTTGTTTTTGTAAGGCTTAATACAACCGCCAAGTGTGATACGGTGCACATTATAATCTAATAATATTGTAATCAAATCTTGTTGAGTTCAAGTTAGTGGTCTTACTAATGCTTCAGGATTTTGTAGACAAAAAATGACGAGGTTTGAGGCATGTCGTCTGTCTGGAAATGGGGAATCGTTTCCTTGACAACATTCAACCACTTTCCCTCTTTCTCCAATTCTTCCATCATTGGCTGATATCGTTCAAGCTCACCAAATCGAATGTTGAAGCTAAGAAGACCATCTACGATTTAGGAAAAAAATAAGATCAATATTTGAATAAATACACACAAAAGGAAACGGAATGATTTGAGGTGATATATTGAATCTTGCGAGCACTGACCCCTACTTTCCTCAAGTAACTTTCATATTTTATATATAACAATTTACCTCGCAGAAGTGATAACTAAGGTTCGGAAAGAAAAAACTGGGCGAAAGAACAGGCGAATGCAAATGACAAACAGGGTGTTTCTTGAAAAGCTCGTGGGAAAATTCTCAGGAATCTAATCCACTCACTCTTCTTGTGAGACCCTTTATGTTGGTGGTGTGATTTCAGATGAATGATGTTTGGAAGCAATACAGCATATTAATCTTAAAAAGACAGTTCCAGAATTGATCTCAAGAGAGTCTCCTAGCTTTTGTAGAACGTTGTAAATTTGCCCCTGACAAAAATATCTCTTATTGTGTCTTTGATAAAATCGTCTCTTTCTTAGTGATTACTTGGCTTTTATGTCGCATTCATCGTTGAATGCCTGCTAAGGTCTAGTGACAGGTCTTCCCACTTGATATTTTACCTATACAGCTTATAGCTTCATTTGGTGGTAGAGAATAGAATAGGGCTGGTTGGGTTACTCAGCAACAGGAGTTTGGTTAAACAGAAAAAAAGTAAATTTAAGGAGGGGCTAAAATTAAGAGATCATTTTATTTCCTCGTGACAATGACGGATTTGTCGGGATCACATATTTCAACTAAATCAGAATTCGAGTGGAAAACGTGTTTTTGGCGAGCGTGCACTCAATATTTTCTCTTTTACTGTTTGGTCACTAACTTGGATTTTTGATGCAGATGAAGGCTGAAAAGAGAAGCAAATCTCTGATTCTTACTTTCTCCTTCATTGTGATAATAATCCCGCTCGCCTGCAAGTTTCAAAAGAAAAGAATAATTCAGAATCTCACCAATCTTGATCATGCGAATCATTTCCACCAGAGCAGTTGGTTTGACATGCGCAGCAGCCAGCGTTCCAATGCAGATCATAGCGTCGTATTCTCCGGTGATAACTTCAGGATTCTGATCAGAGTTCAATGGAGCGCAGATGAATTTCTGGTAGACGTTTTTCTTCCTTGCTTCATTCAACATTTCAGGTGAGATGTCCAGAGCACACAGATGAGTGTAGCCGAGTTTGTGAAGCTCAACTCCACACAGACCAGTGCCAGCCCCGCAATCGATAATCTTGACTTCATCCTTCGGTTTGTTCAAGTATTGTTTGATGGCAGCGTCTAAGCATTCAGTTTGTGGTCGATGACAGACCAAGAGTGCTTTTACCACGACTTCCTGAAAGATATTTTGACAAACAGCTCACACCAAACTCAAATTAATGTAAAATAGATATACTTTTTGTTCCTCGCAGGATTTCGCAATCAAAATTTATAGTACAACCATAATCTCAAATATCTAGCGGATCACTGTTGTCACAGCTATTCCTTCCATTTTCCTTTCCCGCCCTTTATTGGTCAAGACGCATTGTCAATAAAAGCGCAGAAGATGAAAATGATCTCGTATCATACACCACATGCGCGGTCTAAAACGTAGTTTGTTTGATCACTCAAGGAAATCCGAGTGTTTTTTTTTTCGCGTTTGACCCAAGCAGGCTTGTGTGCCATATCTTTGTGCTCTCTATCTTTCGATGATATTTGCGATCTGTTACTCAAGATAAAAGATGCAGAGCGAAATGGAGTGTTTGTTGCATCAACCATGGAACTGTGGTCGATATCTCAGTTGCTTACATGTTCGTTATGACCAGTTCCTTCCCCAGCCTTGATTACCCAATAACTTGAGCAGGCAAAGGCATTTGATATTTTAATTTTTCTTACGTTTCAACAAGCCTCACACAAAATGAGGCCTCGTGTAAAAGCTTCCTTAAGAAAACGAGTTTTATTTCTATGAGAACAAACTCAATTAGTGTGATAGATAACTAGATGAATGGATAAATAAGGAAATGGATAAATATAGATATCATCAACCCACCTCATCATACTTATTGGCCCAATCGTTATATACATCCCTGATTTGATCTTTAATTCTGTTGTTGTGGCTGGTGACAGATCAGCAAATCGAGTTCCAAAGTACTTTCTGTAACCGCCGACATGTGTATGCGTAGCCATTCTGAAAATAATAACAACATCAATGCATTGTTTAACCTTAGATCTCATTAGAAATTCTCCTTACTGTTTTTCATACGATTCTTGTGAAGTTAGTTTGGAGAATTTGATATTGGATTTTCTAGTTATCCCTTGATTTATATTTTTCTTTGCTCTCATCACTTGTCCACTAGATTTTGTTTTGATAATTTTGGTAGATGTTTTGTCTCGGTCACCAAGAAGAACAAAATCAAACTTTTCCGAATTGCAGAGATGATTATCAGGGTAGTATCGTTAGAAGTATTGTTATTGTAACAAACAAAAATACAAACGTAAATAAAATTAAGCGCAAAGTGACTTAAGAAAAATAGCGTCCACGGGCATTTACGTAAGTCTCTATTACACTCAACGAGCTTCAGGAGACGTAATCTACTAGACAGCCATGCGCGAGTAGCCAAGAGGTGGCCAAGAGGTGGGCTTGACGCAAAAGCCTTTAAAACTTCGCTTTTAAATCTAAAATTTGGTTATTTTCAAAGGTAATGGTTGTCTCTTTAGCATCCTGTCTGTTGGGTGTTGCGCATCCACCCCCCCCCCCTTTCCCCTCTCAAGTTTAATACATATGTAGTAAGTTTAATAGGGGGTAGCTGCCGTGCTGCGTCTCTAGGGGAGGAGGGGGTATTACAAGATAATAATATAGAGGCCAGTGAATAAGTTTCTAGTAATCGGATCCATATGTTTTCACAAAGGAAGCGGGCGTGAAGGTTCGAGAAGGATGTTTCGACGCCCACAAGAATCTATTTTTGTGAGAGATCGTCGCTTTTTTGCCGCTGCTTTTTCAGAAATAGATTTAGACAATATTGATACGAGGGAAGAGTAATTTTTTTGGAATTTCTGATGAAATATGTAATGAAGTCCAGCTTCGACATCAACATATTGGATTAATGCAGATCTAAAATCTTAATCCCCTCACGGCTTTTTTGTTTTATCAGCATATTCCCATGTAGTCAACTCGTAGAGAACCGAGAGGCGCACACTGTGATTAACTCGGCCATTCCGATATTGGGAGGCGAAGCACGCTTCCCGCTGGTTCATAAGTTCCCGAATCACGCCCGCCTTTCTGTAAAATTCGTGTCACAAATCAATTAACCCTTTACACCCTAACATCAGTGTGCATTTTCTCAATACTGTTCTCCAAACATTTCCTAAGGTGCTGATAAGGAGAATTTGTCTAACAGTCAAGAGCTTCTTTAGTTGGTGATAACTTCCTTTATTCTTGCGACCTTAATGTTTGATTCAGGGGTGATATGGTTAGAAGAAATTGGGTGCCAGTCACTCAGGACCACTATGTTACCCTACTGAAATCATTTCTCTTGTGGTACACTTGAATTCTTACTTCAGATATGACAAATATATTTCCTCCTCAGAAGGAGAGAAGGAAAATTACTTTTCTTTCGTTATGAGGGGGTAATTCAGAGGGTGGTAGGTAAAGTAAAGTATAAAAATCGCGCGAAACATACCTTAATTGATAAGCAGTAAATACTAATTGTTTGCTTCCCTTTTCCTTTCAAGAAAGTTAACAAAGTCACAGTGTGATCGCCCCTCTCGTTCCCTCGAATGAGTTTGAACTGCGCGAATGTTTCTTAAATTGTCTGTTAAAGGGGTAAGCCGGGGTGATGTTATTTTACGGAGCTGTGAAAATATTTCCAAATAGTGAAAGGTGACGGGACCTCCGCATGCTGTTATTTCACGGAGATGTGGAAATTCGTCAAAATGTCATGTCATAACAACGAATCGATGAGTTAGTCCAAGTTGGACTTTGGCTCTTGAACTAATTTGACTTCAAGATCGGTTTACCAGAGTTCCCGAGTTACGTTATCGAGGCACACTACGAGTTAATTATTCATTTCAGGAAAGACTTAAAATCGATAGGATTAGAGTCAGAATGGCTCCGGTCTCTGGTCGTCCGCCTGAACTGACTAAATGAGTTTTGTCAGCGGAGCTTGTTGGCCGACAGCTTTCTCATCGCCGGAATATCGCTGAACGACCTCGCTGAACGAGAAAGGCTGCCTTCCCTTCGCTACGTAAGTAAGCATTTCTTGTTGGACAGATCGGTATTTTCATTCGCATGGATATTTCATTGTTCCGCTTCGAGACACGCGGTTAACAATACTCACGAGCAAATAGTTAATATATAACTTATTAACTTTTACTATTTTTATCACTCAATTACAGGTCGGAGCCATTCCTGTATTTAGTCGTTAGTAACTCTTATAATTCCGCCATGACTGTTATTGCGCAAGATGATCATCTC